GTGGCATGGCCACTGTGGCAAGACATGGCTGTGTTTCCTCTGACCCCTGCTGCCTTCACCTCCCAGTGGCCCATCTTCCCTAGAGGCTGGGTGGTGTGTGTTCTTGGCATTCCTGGTGCCCAGCTGGAACTTGGAGCTTGTTTCTACATGGAGAAGCAGTGGAAAGCTACAGTCTTACAGTACTGCTATTCAGCAACATTATGGCTGAGATAGGCTATTAAACCCTAAAAGGACATTTAACCATCATTTGTGGCATTCTGGCTTTAGAAAAATGTACTTCAGACTTCCAAATAACTAATTTGGAAATGCATTTTTAGAACCCAATAATTTGGAGGTTGTAATTTGGAAGTTTGTAAACATGCTTGAACTGCTGAGTAAATCTGAATGTGTACCTGTGTTCAGTTCTTAGATTCATGAGTTCAAGTCTAGAGGCTACTCTGACAAACTGTTAGGCTTATTTGTTTTTTAAGAATAGTCAAGTGCAGGCTGGTCCGAGTGCAGTGGTGTTTACAGCTAATTGATCACAACCAGTTAGAGATTTCCTTCTTCCTTCTCCACTCCCACTCCTTCAGTTGACTAGCCTTAAAAAAACACAGCAAAACAAACCAGTCTGTGCAATAGTAAGAAAGTAGACTCACTTTTTTAGAACAACGTTGCCATTGTTACTTTTTTTTTTCTTTTCTATTTTTTGAGGCAGTCTCACTCTGTCACCCAGGCTGGAGTGTAATGGCACAATTACCATCCATTGCAACTTCCACCTCCTGAGTTCAGTCAGTCCTCCCACCTCAGCCTCCCGGGCAGCTGGGACTATAGGCATGTTCCAGCACACCTGGCTAATTGTTTCATTTTTTGTAGAGACAGTCTTGCTATGTTGCCCAGGCTAGTCTGGAACTCCTGGCCTCAAGTGATACTCCCAACTTCACCTCCCAAAGTGTTAGGGTTATAGGCATGAGCTACTGCTTCTGACCTCATTGTTTCTAACCCTAAACTGGAGTGTTCATTTTCTCTTCTCACTGTCCCCCCATGCCACATTTATTTCTGAAGCTTGGGAAGATAGGAGACCTATAGAAAACTGCCGTGTTTTTTCTCTTCATAGCTGAGTTCTAGAAGGCTATCAGTTGCTATCTGAGTTCTGAGTTGGTACCTAATTTTAGAGGAGCACCACTTATCCTCCATGCCTTGCTTAGGTCCTCCTTGTTATTTTACCCTAATTTCTCTGCTGCTTGAGGATAGGAACCTTGTAATCAGAATCCATTCAGCAAACCCTGAGAGCAGCTTCTTTTAGGGAGGGCTACTTCCAGGAGCAGAAGGATGGCTGTTTCCTTTGAATATTTCTTATGTGATCCATGGCACCAGGGTAAAGGTGGCAGAATCTATACTTTTAATCACTTGGGAAGGCAAACTGCCAGAGTGTTTGTGGGAGAGAAGTCAAGTGTTGGTGTGTTTTGTTGCAGAGGCAGAGAAGAAGCGTGAGGCCAAGCAGCGAGCTAAGGAAGCCCAGGAGCGGGAACTGCGGAAGCGGGAGAAGGCAGAAGAGAAGGAGCGCCGGAGAAAGGAGTACGACGCCCTCAAAGCAGCCAAGCGGGAGCAGGAGAAGAAACCTAAGAAGGAAGCGAATCAGGCCCCAAGTAAGTTTGCTGCCTGTCGTGAGGTTCCAGCAGGGGTGCAGTGGAAACGCTCATGTTTCCCGGCATAGACGACTGAGTGAGCAGCCCTGCACACCTTAGTGAGATAAATTACACTAAAGCCTGGGAGTGGATGGGAGGGTTTGGTTACAGGGAATGGGGGACTCTCCTGTAGGGAGCTAGTGTCCAGCTGGTTTGTTTCCCTAGCGCCCACATACTTCTGTTCTGGTTAGATGTGTCTTGCAGCATTCCTGGAATAGAGTCTTACTTTTTGTAGAGGTGAGGTTCTAAAACCATTGAGATATGCAAAGATCAGAAATGGTCAAGTTTACTCTTAAAAGGCCCTCACAGCCAGGTTCCGTAGCTCAGGCCTTTAATCCCAGTGTTTTGGGAGGCTAAGGTGGGAAGAGGTCACTTGCACCCAAGACCAGCCTGGGCAACATAGAGAGACCCTGTCTCTACATAAGTTTTTTAAAAATTAGCCAAGTGTAGTGGCACACAGCTGTGGTTCCAGTTACTTGGGAGGCTGAAGCAGGAGGATCATTCAAGACTAGCCTGGGCAACAGTGAGACCCCTGTCTGATTGAACACTGAAGGAATCATTTGGCCTGCATTCAGGGAGCCACACTGTACAGAAAACGCATTTCTGTGTTTCACCTGAATATGTGTAGTTGAATTTCATTAGTGACATGGCTCCGATGCCCACTGGGTTAAAAGGGACCCCTAAGGGAGAGGCAGGTGAGGGAAGGGGCTCAGCACAGAGAGCGGAGGCCTGTGGCCGTGCCCCTGCTCACCCTTGTCTGGAGCAGGACAGGGCCACAGGCCTCCATCCTCCTGATCTAACTGGTTTTTAATTTCCTTGTTGAAAATGAAGATCATACTTACTTACAGGGTAGTAATAAGGATTAAATGAGGAAACAGGATCATGCAGTTCCTGGCATTGTGGATGTTCAGTTGAGTTTTTTAAAATTTTGTCTAAAAATCTCAAAACCGATTTTTTTCTAATTAAAAATGTATGTTCATTGCAAAGAATTTAGAAAAGATATCTATATAGATACATATATCAGAAAATGGCAATCACCTGTACTCTCCCATTCCTGTCAGTCATCACTGCTTACAATATGGCGTATTACCTTTTGGGCTTTCTTTTTATATACACTTTATATCATAATAATGACAATAATGATAAATCCTGACCCTTTTTCCTCAAGTGGACAGTACTCTGTCAGCGCTGGATGCCTCCTGATAAGCCCCTCTCTCTGTGATCCCAAGGAGTATGGATCACCGTGTTACCAAGAACTTAGGACCCTGGGGGCTGTGAGCGACATGAGACATGCAGAATGAGTCCCAGTTTCAAATGTACCCCCTTGAGAGCCAAGGGAAAAGGTGTTTCTGTTTTGGTCTCTGGAGACAGTTTTTCTCTTCAGGGCCTGGGGAGTTTTTGCTTGAGAAAGGGGTGTAGGTAGATCTGCATGGAGGAGACTAGCAGAGATTGGCATAGAGCGGGTCTAACTGACAGAACTTGTTTTGTCTACTGTGACTGTTCCTCCAGAATCTAAGTCCGGCTCCCGACCTCGTAAGCCACCACCCCGGAAGCACACTCGTTCCTGGGCTGTGCTGAAGCTGCTGCTGCTGCTGTTGCTATTTTGTGTGGCAGGAGGGCTGGTTGCTTGTCGGGTGACAGAGCTGCAGCAGCAGCCCCTCTGCACCAGTGTGAACACCATCTATGACAATGCGGTCCAGGGTCTACGCCGCCACGAGATCCTCCAGTGGGTCCTCCAGACCGACTCTCAGCAGTGAGCTTGTCCCCAGCACCTGCTGCCTCCCAACCTTGGAGCTTGGATTCCTATGGAATTGGGTTCTGCTGGACACAACCTCTTTTTAGCATCAGACCTACCTGCCATCATCAAATGGCTGCAGATTGGTACATGAGACCTCCTCTTTGTAGGACTTCTTCATTCCTTAGTCAGGGTTCCCTGGTGGAATGAGGAGAAATGGGAGGTGGTGGGGGGAGCAGTTACCTGCATGCCTAAAGGAGTAGGCTTGGGGGTGGGGAGAGAGAAAACATAGCCTTTTCTAGTTGTTTTACAAAGCTGTGTAAAGGCAAGGCTCGTTTCTACTAAATGGTCAGCTGTCACTACATTTATACTTTTGTATATCACAAACCCTTTCTTTCATTCCTCCCTGGGCAATCAGGGCAGATCAGAAGTTTTTGGGGACTAGGACACCACACTCACTAAATCCAATCTAAATGGTGGGGAGGGGTATTCCTGTTTTCTTTAGGACCTCAGAGATGTAAGCATTTTAGCCATACAAAATATCTGGCTGTGAAAGGGACTTCATGGCCATCCAGTCCAATATAACACACTTGCAGGCAGAGAAACTGAGGCCTTCCATGACTTGCCTAGTCTCCCAGCTAGTTTGAGGTAAAACTGGATTCCCACTCTGACATTCTTTCTTTCCATCATTTTCCGTCCTTTGTAATGTCCTGAGAGACTAGAACTCACACCAGAATTATTTCTCAGGTGGAGCATAGCATCTTTCATAGTAGACAGATTTCATGACTCAGACATAGAAATCTCTTGCCATCATCAGGTCTTAGGCAGCTCCTGTGGAGTCCTGCCCAACTTATGTGGCTTCCATAAAATGGCAACAGTCCAGGCTCCTTGCCTCAATTTTAGAGCATTAACTCCCTAATTGCCAGTAAGCAAGGAAGTGGATCTCTGCACATCTACACTGTCTGTGACAGCTCTAGTTGTACTTGGTGTGACTAAATACCTCAAAGGCATCCTGCTTTTGCAGGTTTTGAAGTATCAGCTTCATAAGACACTGAGGTTTAGAATTGTTTGATTCTAGACCATAAATGAAGGGAATAAATGGAAACAGAGGAAATGTTTGATTCTAGACCATAAATGAAGTGAGTAAATGGAAACAGAGGAAATGAAGGGAAACAAGGAGCATCATGGAGCTGAAACGTGGTGCATCACCCAGTGACTAGCACAAACAAGGATCGCACTGTCCATTCTCTTGTCTGCTAGATTAAGCATTTTCTTGCCTCCTTTGCTTCATCTTTTCACAACAGCCAGATGGAGGGATCAGAAATGACTGTGTCATGGTGCTCATTCACTGAAGACTCCCAGTTGCAAGTTCCTTGCCTCCCCCGGAGGGAGCAAGAAGCCGTCATAGTTCAGAGACAGAGAGGGCAGGGTCCAGCCTTCTAGCCCTAGTGACCTGTTCGGATGGGACTGCCACTCATGACCATCCTGGTACTGGAAGAAAGGACTTTGTTAATCTTCTCCCCCATAGCTCTGCTGTGTAGGTCTACACCATACTCAGAATCACTACACATTCCCTTAGTTTTCCTTCGAGCTCCAGAGCCGTTGGTACAAATGCTTTATTGAAACTAAATACATAATACATACAATGAGATTAAGACAACATAGAAGTCCGCATAGTTATATCCTGTTCCTTGGCCGGTTGAGGCAGCTCAGTGGCTGAGCCCCGTCAAGCCAATCCGCAGCTTCACTCACGACTTCGAGATTTGATGCTAATTCTTTTGGATTTCTTATTAAATACGTGTCTGAGTGGACTGTCTTTGTTCCTTTGTGTTTTGAGGGCTGGCTGGGTAGGAGTGGGGGTGGTTTGTCTGTGGCAGTTAATTTTTGCCAGGAGAGGAACATAAAATGCCGAAGGTAGGTGGCAGTATTTCAGTCTCTGCCCCAGCTGATGTGCAGAGAGACTGGGCCTCACCTAGACTTGTGCTCCAGGTGCTGCCAGTCTCTTCACTGCAGTCAGACTCTGAGGTGGGGAGGTGGAAGTCTCCAGCTTTTCATCCTCATCCCTGAAGGCTAGAATTAGCACTATCTAAAGAGAGATCTGGCTGTAAAGCAGTCATCTGAAGGTAGATACGCCTGGATAGCTCTGGTCCAACACGGCGAGAGGTGGATGTCACACCTACTCCACGGCGCACCTGTATGTCTGCAAGCAGATTCTGGCGTTCTTGCTCCGAAAAACACTGCCGATAAGCCTGGAAGTGGTAGATGACCTCTTAATATGGTATCGTCCATGGTGATCCCTTCTCCACAAGCATGGAGGGTGCTATACTTGGCTTGGGGCATGAGAACCTGTCCTCCCTCCCTGAGTCAGTGTTAACAACTCTGATCTTAGCAGACCTGCGCTGCTGACCTTTGAGGCTTTCATGGGCCCTCAACAGTTGTCCAAGGACATCAGGGGGCCCACAGACCCCACCCGTAATGGGCAGTGACCCCAGAGCCCTGGAGCAGCATACCTGTACCAGAAGCTGTGGGGAGGGATAGGCATCCACAACTGCGCTGGCCATTTCCAGGCTGACTCGGTTCAGCTGCTGAATCTGTCTCCTCCAGACCAGTGAGAGTCCCCTGCCAGCACGGTCCACCTTCACCCCTCCAGCCCAGTCACTCTCCACACAGAAGGAGAAGGTAGTTTCATCTCGGAGCTTCCTGCAACAGCACAGTTAGAGAGCTGTAAGTTGCTCCTTACTCTACTATACCTGTTCCCTCAAGTGGAACTGAAAAATTGACCTTGGAAGAGGTGGGCGCCATGTTACAGCCGGCCTATTGTGCCTTTGACAATTTGCTCACTTTGTTCCCAGGTATAGTGCCAGTTGCTGATTTCCTTTAAAAACTATATCTAGTCCATTTTAGTAGAAGAAGAGGTACCAGATTCTTTTAATATTTGGCAGTCTGGAGTCTTATTTCTGGTTCTTCTAACTGCCAGGAGCTTAGACAAGTCAATCTCTTCAGGCCTCAGTTCCCTCAAGTATAAAATAAGGGACTTGGATGGGATTGCCTCTGAGGTCATTTACTCATTTTAAATTCTGACAATGAACACTCCTTGAACTAAGAAAGCTAAAAATTTGCTTTCCTAGTGCTTATAACATTGTGATCTGACCTGTAATTAATCCTGGTTACTTGGCCTATGGTAACCTGGCCTATGATATCAACCTGCAGAACAGAACGCTTACACATAAGCAAAAGGAGAATATCTGAAAAGGGGCTGAGCTTGGGGATTCCTCCCAAGAATCCCCAGCGTGAGGTTAGCTCCTTCTGCCTCAAGCTTGAGAGAGAATGGGCTGACTGCAGAGATGAGGAGAAAGGGACATTTGCTTTGACTGCAAGAACCATGGTAAAGGACAAGGCCCGGCATGGAGGTTGGACTTGCTGGGGGTGCTCACTTGAAGGGCGTCTCAGCCACAGCCTTGGTGAATGCACATGCGAAGTCAGCCAACTCTTTCCAGCTCTGCACAATTTGAGCCTGGGCTTCCGTGTGTAGCTGCAGATCCACCAATGCCTAGAAACCCAAAAGCAACAATGGACTGGAAAGGTGGAGGGATTAGCTGTAAGTCACTATCCACTGAAGCTATACCCCAGCCCCTTGGCTCCCTGTTTGGCACCTTCTCTCCTACTCAGTGCCTGGGCAGAAAGCAGTATGCAGCAGGCATTTTATTCTCTATCGGTAGCAAATCTCCTTAGGTGACCAGTGAGTACCCAGCCCAATTCAGGCAACAGGATGTTCTTACCTCTTCCACGTCTACCCTGGATACTATGGACCCTGTGCTGGCCTCTGGTTGTCTCTGCTGCTTCTCCTTCGTCTGTTTATTTATTCCCTGTTTCCCTCTTCTTGGAGGATGCTGAGCACTGGTGCAGGGGAGGAAATCAAAGAAGGACAGCAGCTCCAGGCTGAACTCAGGCAGATGTGCAAGAAGACTAGCCCAGAGCATCCTGCTGGGCTTGTTAGATATGGGCTACCTTGCAGAATCTGTGATGAATAAACTCACCCCTCTTGGCCCAAGAGCTGCCCCTTTGAACATGTAATTATCAGGGCAAATCCAAACCTGAAGCATTTGTCTTGATCCACAATCACCAGTGACAGAGTTTTCCCTGCTGTCCTTGCTGTGATATCAGTTACAAAGCCCTGAAATGTTTTCTTCTCTTTCCTAGTGCTGTCCAGGCTTCCCTGCATGAAGGGGCAGAAACTGCATTAATTCTTGCTTCCTAGTAAGAGTCGGCCCTCTGTTCCATGTCCTCCCACCCTCTGGCTCTGCCCACCTGCTTTCCGTTGTAGATCATGGACACAAATGCCTCTGCCCGGAGCAACACCAGGACTATTGGCTCCTCCACCCAGTCCTCTCCGTCCTGCCCCAGGAGCACAGCACAGGGAGGGAGGTCAGCAGGTATTGAGCACCTGTGAGAGTGGCCCAGGGCTTCCAGGTGAATGAACTAACTCCCACACCTGTGCATTATCCCTTTCTTCTGGATTCAAGTCACTGTGGCAAGAAACAATGATGCAGTCCCTCCCACCCCTCAATTGTTCAGTCCTGGTGCCCTGCCTCTCAGAGACAGCGAATAAAAAAGGGACATAGCAAGTTGAAAGGGGCTGGGAAGTAATTGCCAATTTGTTCTGTACATTTTGAATGGGGGGGTGGAGGGAACGGAAACTCTTCCAAAGGATTTAGTACAGGTAAATGACTCTGGCTTTGAAGGTAGATGCTATGAGCTGAGTGGCCCTTACAATCACATAGTTTTTTTTTTTTGGGGGGGGGGGTTTTGTGTGTGTGACAAAGACAAGAATCATAAGGGAGACATCAGTCTATGAGAGCAATTCCTCTTTATCACAGGGCATAATCAAAGTCAAGACTGCCTCAAGGCCAACAATCCTCCAGCAGTACAGTATTACAGAGTAATTGGGGAGCGGGACTTTTATAGAAAGTTTCCTGACTGGGTCCCTCATAAGCAAAAGCAAGACCCATACTACAGCAAAGTGTAGATGGGAGGAGCTCTGGGTTCTCGCTCCCATTGTGGTCCTCAACAAGGCGTTTAACTTTTCTGAGCTCCAGTTTCCCCACCTGTGATGTGGGGTGAAGTCCTACCTTATAGGATGACTGATGGAAACACAAGAGAGAAAGTGGGAGTGCCTTGAGTGGGTAAGCTGCTCTATGAATATAAAGGCTTGCTAATACTACCCCAGAGTAAAAAGTGTGGGTAACTGTCCTATGTTACTGAGGAAGTTATCCAAAAAAGAAATCAAAGAGAGGAAAACAAAATCTTTTCTTTTTTTATACCAGATGCTTCTGGTGAGATAAAAAAGAATCTTAGCACCAGGCACAGTGGCTCACACCTGTAATCCCAGCACTTTGGGAGGCCGAGGCAAGAAGATCGCTTGAGCTCAGGAGTTCAAGAACAGCCTGGGCAACATGGCAAAACCCCATCTCTACCAAAAATACGAGCTCCACTCTGCTCTGTGATCTCTACAAAAATCACAGGGCCCACATGTCTTCTGGCTCCCAGCTGGGTGTCACCAGCGGAGAACCCTAAAAGAGGACTAGTAGGAAGGAAGAAAGTGAAGTCAGGGTATTTTCCCTGGCTTCCTCCCAGTGGGGTCACCTAAGGTTTGCTGTCCCCCTCTATGGCAGCTCATAGCTTCTCTCAAGGTGGCCCTCTCTCCATTTCTCTCTCCTGGATTTTGTTAACCACTCCCACCCCTCGTCCCTTCAGGCATAGGAATATTAACAGCTGTGCCAGCGGTTCTCAAACAGGAGTGATCTTTCCCCACAAACGACCCCTGATATGTCTGCAGAATTTGTTATTGTCATGACTGAGAGGGGTATATTGGTGGCCAGTGGCCAGGGATGCTGCTCAACATTTTGCACATCACAGGACAGCCCTCAAAACAGAGTTCTCCAATCTAAAATGCCAATACTGAGGTCGAAAAGCCCTGAGTTGTGCTGTTACCCTGAGGTACCATGCTGTCCCTGGCAGCTTTCTTGTACCCTGCCCATGCCTTGCGCAAACAGTCCCTTTATTCAATCTTTCTTCAATTACCCTGAGTTGAATGTACCATCTGTTTTCCTGCTGGGGCCCTGACTGATAAGTATCATTAAAAAAAAAAAAAAGCATATTTATCCTGTAACTGTAAGGGGAGGAGGGGGAAGAAATGTCAGCCGGAAAACCCCTACCTCAGACGTTTCAGCCCTTCTCCTCCAAGTGACACTGCAAGGCACGGCCTGCGCCTCAATCACACAGCGGCACTCCATGGACTGCAGTGCTCCCAGGAGCTGCCCCCCACCTTCCATCTGTAAAAGCACTGCAACAGATGGAAAAGGGACTGTCAGTGGGTGGTCCAGAAAGCAGATAACTCAGCAAAGGACAAAGACACATGCGAGGACCTGGATCCAGCACCACAGTGATGTGTTTTAAGCATTCCTCTGGCCTCTGGGCCTTCATCCTGGTTACCGGTGCTGCCTTCTGTCTTTCCTGTCGTCTCAGGGTGCTTTCCTTCTGCCTTGCTTGTCTCTGCTGCTGGCATCCCTGTGAGCCTCTTCCCTGGACCTTCTGACTCTGCTTGGTTTTCTTTTGGGGTGGGAGGATTTCAGAATTTGTTTTGGTTACTGCCAAGCTGCTGCTCTGGCCAGGGCAGGTAGACTGGTAGGCTGGAAGCTGACGGCATGGATCTAAGATTGGGTCCTTGTTATCTAATGCACTCCTCTCTGGAGTATCGTGGAGGGGAACTTGAGGGATCTTTGAAAAGGGCTGCTTTTTCCAGTCACATGACACACCATTATTTTGATGATCCAAAACACTTTTAATTAGGGAGCTAGAGTCCTCAGGGCTCAGTTGCCTGTGGGTCAGAAACTTACATATAAGCCTCTGAGCTAGAGGAACAGATTCTTCATCCTCACTTCCACTGCTTAGCAAACTGACTGGCTGTGTTTCTGTGACAGTTTCAGCTGTGTCTGGGACAGGTGGTGAATCTTTCAAGCCTGGTGATGGAGGACAGGAGGCCTCAGAATCTGAGATGTCAACCACTACAATCTTCTCTTCCCTTTCAGGCTGTCTCCTCTTTGTTGAAGGTTCCTTCTTCAGAAAGGCAAATGTTGGCAACTCCTCAGAGTCACTATCACCAGAATCCAGTGAGGGTGATGACTTCTTCAGAGCCATCAGTATGTGCCATCAAATCATTCCCTAAAAGGAAAAGAGATATATGACACAGACTGGAGTATTCAATTCAGTTCACTAGCTGTCTTCCATAGCCAAGCTTTATGAAGAAAAATATAAGATCTAGATAATACAGAAACAGAGAAATATGACATGGCCCCAACACATTCTATCTGGAACTCTAACTCCTGGTAGTCTAACAGGAATTCTCCTCAAATTCTTTCCAGTTGACAACAAAGTAGAGTTACCATTACAAAATTTGAATGGGGGCTAGTAACAAGATTTAACACCTCCACCCTCTCGTTGATCTCCACATTTGAAATGGAGATGTCAAAAATTACCCTTTTTTTTTTTTTTCTTTTGAGATGGAATCTCACTCTGCCGCCCAGGTTGGAGCGCAGTGGCATAATCTCAGCTACTGCAACCTCTGCCTCCCAGGTTCAAGTGATTCTCCTGCCTCGGTCTCCTGAGTAGCTGGGATTACAGGCATGTGCCACCACACCTGGATAATTTTTGTATTTTTAGTAGGGACAGGGTTTCACCATGTTGGCCAGGCTGGTCTTGAACTTCTGACCTCAGGTGATCTGCGAGCCTTGACCTCCCAAAGTGCTGAGATTACAGGTGTGAACCACCACACATGGTCAAAAGTTGTTTTTGTTTTTTTAAACTGAGATAAAGGCTGGGCATGGTAGCTCATGCCTATAATCTCAGCACTTTAGGAGACCAAGGCAGAAGGATCACTTAGGCCCAGGAGTTGGAGATCAGCCTAGGCAACATAGTGAGAACTCAACTCTACAAAAAAAATACAGCTGGATGTGGTGGCTCACATCTATAGTCTCAGACACTCAGGAGGATGAGGTGGGAGTATTGCTTGAGCCTGGGAGGTCAAGCCTGCAGTGAGCTGTGATTGTACCACTGTACTCCAGCTTGGGTGACAGAGTGAGACCCTGCTTCAAAAGAAAAATAAAATAAAAAGACATATAATTCGCACATCATATGTCTTTTCCTTTGAAAAGTGTACATTCAGAAGTTTTTTAGTATATTCACAATGTTGTGCAACCATCATCATTTATTTTCATCACCTCAAAAAGAATTCCTGCAGCCATTAAGCAGTCACTGTCCATTTCCTCCCTCTCCCCAGCTCCTGGCAACCATAAATCTCTCTATGCATTTGCCTATCCTGGATATTTCATATAAATAGAATCACACAATATGTGGCCTTTCATGACTGGCTTTTTTCACTTAGCATAATGTTTTCAAGGTTTATTTATGATGTAGCCTGTATCAGTACTTATTGCTTTTTATAACTGACTAATATTCCATTGTATGGATATGCTACATTTTGTTTATCCATTAATCACTTGGGACATTTGTTTCCTCTTTTTTTTTTTTGGCTATTTTAGTGGGGGTATGTTTTCAAATCCCTTGCGTATATATACCTAGGAGTAGAATTGCTGGGTCATGTGCAAAGCTAATCATTCCTTGAACATTTACTAACGCTGTAGGTATGACCCAAGAGGGGACATGTAACCTGCCTAGGTCTCAGTTTCTTTCTTAGTAAAACAGGGACAATAACAGCACCCATTTTATAAGGTGGTGAAAATTAAATGAAATAATGCATCCACCGCGCTTAGTACAGTATCTGGCACACAGCTGGCTGGGTAAAGTAAGCTGAATGACTAAGGAGGGGGCCTCATCTCTTCCCCTTCGCTTGGGCTCTGCTGACATCTCAAATGAGGGGAGTGGGACAAGCGGGCCCCTGCCCGATAAGCTCTGCGCCTCTCAGGCTGGCGGTCCGCTGCAGAGACTCCTGGACGCCCTGGCCACCAAGACGCTGCAGACTAGTCCTCAGGAGGCAAGCCCTGCCCAACCCCCGGGCCCGCGACCGGGGATACTCACCGGCAACTTCTCCCGCCTCTCTTTCAACTGCCACGCAGGACCCGGAAGTAGAGCTGCTGATATCGGAAGTAGAACCTTTTGGGAATCGGAAGTTGGTGAACGCAAGCATGGCGTCGGCGGTGCTGGCGCTGAGGATCCGGACAGCCGGTAATGGGACGCGGTAGTCAGAGCAGGGCGAGCAGGGGAGGCAGAGTGGAGATCCAGCAGGGAGGGAAGGAGGTGACATTAATTTCTGCAGAGGACCCCGAATGCAAGGGGAAGTCTGTGGGGCACTCCAGGTTTGAGGGCCGGCTGTCGCTGGTCACGTGACACACCCTGAGTGAAGCCGTGGGTGGGGGAGTTTGAGGAGCACTTGTCCTTCCCCTCCCTCAGGAGCACGGACGGCGTCCTTGTCGGTTGGGGGTTTGGGTGGATCCTTCCTTTCTGTGTAGAAGCATTAGTAACATTGGCACACTGGGGCTGAAAAAGTTCATCTGATCATTCCACAGATTAAGGTCTTACTTTGTGCTAGACACAGAGGTAGGTGTTTGGATAATATGCAGAAAACGTGAAGACAGTAGGCCTCTAACTCCCGAACGGTTCCTTCTGGTGCATAAGCCAATAAATGAACACATAAAATAGTTGTAAACTGGCAAGTGCTGTGAAGAAAGAGTGTGTGTGTGTGTGTGTGTCTTTTTTTAGATTGGATGGTGAAGGAAGTCCTCTGAGGTCCTCTGAGGAGATAACATTTAAGACCCAAAGAATGACAGAAGGCGTGCAGTGGCTCATGGCTGTAATTCCAGCACTTTGGGAGGCTGAGGCGGGCAGATCACTTGAGCCCAGGAGTTCAAGACCAGCCTGAGCAACGTGTCAAAACCCCGTCTCTACAAAAAATACAAAAATTAGCTGGGTGTGGTGGTGCATGCCTGTGGTCTCAGACACTTAGGAGGCTGAGGCGGGAGGTCGAGGCTGCAGTGAGCTGTGTTCATACCACTGCACTCCAGCCTGAGTGACAGAATGGAGCCTTGTCTCAAAAAATAAAAAAAGAATTACAGGACAGTTAGCCCTGTGTAGAGTGAGGGACAGGAGAGTGACTTGAGCCAGTTTTATGTTTTGAGATGCGAACTATTGCTCTTATGTAAATTTAAAGGGGATAGGAGTAGAAATGAGGAAATCAGATGGAAAGCTATAATAGTAGTTATGAGGAGAGATGATTTAGCCAAAGTGTTTGTGGTGGCAGTGAACTGGGAGGAAAATGGATGAATTTGAGATCTGTTTTGGAGTTAGTAGCATCCACAGAGCTTGCTGGTGAACTGGGTATGTGAAGTCAGTAAAGAGAAGGGATCTGCAGTGACTGTGGTTTCTGCCTAAGCAACTGGTTGGATGGTGACATCATTTGCTTTGAGGAGGAGAATGGGGAGTAGGATGAAAGATTTGTGAATGAGATAATGTAAGTAAAGTAAAAGCCTAGTTCCTGAGCTTAGTAAGTACATGAATGAATGATTAGATGTTTAGAGGTAGGTATATCCTGGTCCTGGGCATTTAACCTGTTGTCTTTCAAAGTCCTTATCACTGGTCCTTTGCCCCAACTAGTCTCTTTGTCATGGAAATGTCAGAAACTCAGGCTTCAGGAACCTCTGAACTTACAGGCTTCAGAGACACACAAGGCTTCTCTAATGACACTGACATGGGCCTTAAATCATGGCTGTGTCTGGAGACCTCTGCAGGCAAGGACTTCCACCCCTAGGCTTGTCGTACAGCAAGGGACTACAATCTTAGTTGAATTTTAGTTCATTTTACTTTTTCAAATGAATGGCATTGAGCTCTTTGGAATGAGTATGAAGAGGTCAGATTAACAAGGGCATGTGTGTGTCATGGTTGGACCTCTGCTTGATGGACTTTGGGAAGAAAGGGCCTAGCCTTCTGAAATGGCCAGGACCCTGTGGGAGCCACCCTTAGACCAGCTGCCCTTTTGGTTTTCTAGTGTTTGATGTGCAGTGGATGAGTGGGTAGCTAAGAAAGTTGTGCGTGAGGCCAGGCACAGTGGCTCATGCCTGTAATCCCAGCACTTTGGGATCACCTGAGGTCAGGAGTTCGAAACCAGCCTGACTAACATGGTGAAACCCCATTTCTACTAAAAATACAAAAAATTAGCCAGATGTGTTGGCACGCGCCTGTAATCCCAGCTGCTTCGGAGGCTGAGGCAGAAGACTCGCTTGAACCCAGGAGGCAGAGGTTGTAGTGAGCTGAGATCGCGCCATTGCACTCCAGCTTGGGCAACAAGAGCGAAACTCTAACAAAAAAAAAGTCATGGGTAAGGCTGAAGCAGAAGTCTCTCTGGATGTGCTGGGCTCCCCAGGTCTGTTCTGGCCCCTCCAGGGTGCATGAGGATGAGTGAGCTTCTGAAGCAGGCAGCTCTGTGGTGTCCATTTCTCCTTAGCACATTCAGACTGAATGTGTCAGGACCCAGAACAGTCCAACACAGGAAGTACAGGATCTGCCACCCAGCAGCTCTTATCTCTAATCACATGGCTGTGGCTCACAGCCACCCACCTGATGGCCTTTCCTCCGATCTTATCTGTTCCTTTAATCTGGAGCCAATTATGATGGTGAGGATAAATGTTTATTTTTTTCCCTTTATATTTCACTGCTCCCCTCACCTCCCCCAAAAGGAGAAGGCCAAGGACTTACATTCCTTAACACACTCAGTGACACTTCTGCTCCCCTGACACATCTTTCTCATCTCCCCACTGCCTCTCACCTCTCAGCAAGTGGCCCATTGAGGCAGAAAGAGTTTGAGCCTGTCTGTCTGAACAGTGTTTCTGTTTTCTCTGCAGTTACATCCTTGCTGAGCCCCCCTCCGGCAACAGCTCTTGCCGTCAGATATGCTTCCAAGAAGACGGGTGGTAGCTCCAAAAACCTCGGTGGAAAGTCATCAGGCAGACGCCTGGGCATTAAGAAAATGGAAGGTGAGGACGTACCTTGGCTTCCCCTTCCCAGCTGCACCTTGTCCTGGTGTTCCTTGCGAGAGCAGAAAAACCCTGAATGTGCCTGGCCCTGTTCTTCCTCACCATCATAATTGGCTCCAGATTAAAGGAACAGATAAGATCGGAGGAAAGGCCATCAGGTGGGTGGCTGTGAGCCACAGCCATGTGATTAGAGATAAGAGCTGCTGGGTGGCAGATCCTGTACTTCCTGTGTTGGACTGTCTGGGAGTTGCTTTTGGCCAGGGGCAGGCTTGGAGGTTGGTGTGCAGCCTTTGGGCCATTATGTTTTCTTGGTAGTTTGCTACACTGCCCCAATCACTGTGGGTTTCTCTTCTAGGACACTATGTTCATGCTGGGAACATCCTTGGAACACAGCGCCAGTTCCGCTGGCACCCAGGTGCCCATGTGAGTTGCTCTGTTGCTGCCCCCCTTTTTCTTTTTCGAGGATGACCTCTCCTTGCCCCTAAGCATGGTAATAACAGTTGAATGCACTGGATGCTTACCAAATGGCAGGCATTGTGCAGATACCCATGCCTGCATGATCTCATTTCTTCCTTACCACATCCCTGTGAGGCGGGTATTGTCCCCATGTTACAGGTGAAATGCCAGAGGCTTAGCAGAGGTGGGAGGAGCAAGTGGCTGCTGGGATTAGCACCAGGTCTGCCTAACTCCCAGATCTCCGTGTTTTGCCTTGGTATCGCATTGGCCTGGTATTCTTGATTCTCCTTCTAACCCTCAGTTCTTGGAGGACAAGATACCTGGTGATTTTAAATATTTTTTTAGTCTTGGGAAACTAATTTCAATTTATTAGTTTTTCATTATGTCTAAGAATTCTTCCTTTGCATAAACTTACTTGTTGAAGGTTGAAAGATAGCTTGAATTTAATGAAATAGAATTCAGTGTGCCAGAAATTCGGTCCATACCAGGTAGGGGTTTCAGTTTCAGCAAGTTGGCATGATTTTTATGGGGCAGGACAGTTCTTTGTTACAAAGACAGAACGATACTGAACTTTTCACATTGTTTTAAATATTAGTTTCTTTTTTTTTTTTTTTTTT